ACGCGACAGGTCCGGGGTTTAAATCACGGACTGGGCAAGGTAGACTCAGTCTTGCTTCCCTTCAGTGGGTCGATAAATGAATATCAAGCTTGCTTGGGAACTAAACCTAGCGGTTTCGCGTCAGACTGACCACTTGACCCGAACATCTGCTCATGCACCTCAGCACCGAAGGTCACGAAAACTGAGATGGGCACAATAGGCCTTGGCCCTCATGGGTTGTTGTGCCACTGAGTTTAGCTTGATTTTCATACATTTTAGTTGAATAACTTCAATTTTTAAGCTGTACTTTATTTTAATTGAAAGAAATTATCGGTTGTGTGTGCTTATACTTAAACGGTTTTTGTTAGATTTGAGTAACATGGGTTATTTTTAAGCAGTAATATTTCTTCATATATTTTAGAGAAAAGTTATTCCTTCGTTTTGGGGGTAAAAAATATTCTTTAATTTTTGGGGAATATTCCCTCATTTTCCTACATTTCCGGAAAAAAAAATTTGAAAAAAATTAAACAGATATGATATTTTAAAATAATACATAAGTATGTGATTTCATATATAAAAACAGCATTTGAGATTTTGCTGGAGGGATAAAAAATGTTTCTTAAAACATTACACACACACACATTTGATAAATCGTTTCACTTTAATAGAACAAAATAATTAAACCAGTTTTCAAAAACTTATCTGTCAAGACATAATTATTTTACATCTCATAATTCATTTTCCCTTTAAATATTCTCCTCAAAATTTACTACATATATTTATTTGAAGAAAATTATTTTTTAATTTAAACGCTGCAAAATTTTCATTTTTTTTAACACATAAAAAGAATTTTCTACATACAATTCATAAAAATATATGAACCACTTATATTGCATGAATGTAACGAATCAAAATTCTGATTCGTATTACAGGAATACAATTCGCTTAAGAATCAGAATTAAAAAAAAATAAACACTCATCATCATCTGGAACAAAATATTTCTGTTCTAAGACAGAACTGTTTTTAAAAAAACAAACAAACAAAGATACATTATTATTTTTCTCTCGTTTGAGATGAATACCTTTAGGAAACATCATCAATTTCAAATGTGTGCCTATTATATTTAATAAGTGGTTCGACAATTCATCTCAGCAAACCAAAAGAATTTGATCCCATTAACCGTTCTCTGAGAAAAATGGCGTCACACATATTCCATCGTGGATGGAATTATATATTCGCTACGTTTCATTATACAAATGACCGTGAAAAAATCACAAGGTGAATCGCTGAAGTAGTTTAAAACTATTCTTCTGCAAACATGAACTTCGACCCAAATGCTTTATCGTTTGGTTTTCCTTTATACCATATAAGTTGTTCTATATTTTTTTCTTTTATTAATATTTTTCGTTTATTTTTTGAATAATCTATTTTATAATAAAGAAATATCTTTCGAAACAAAGCCAATTCATTCATTTGTGATTCAGGTTAATTGTATTCAAATTTTATTGTTAATTTAATAACAAATTGGTGTAAGCCTTTTGACATACGTAGATAATGAAAATGGAAGATATTCTAAAACTGTTATTTTAGAGAGTAATTACTTTAATTGTATGATTTCGAAAGATAATAATTAAAAAATATAAATTATTTTTAAAGCAAGTTTGTTAATTGTTATATTACAAGAATATTATTAATTATATCTGGAAAAAGGATATATATGTTTGAATATTTTTATAATTCCTGTTTCGAATTATTTTTTGACTTGATGTTTAAATAAGAATTTCTAGTTTTTAATGAAATATAGATAATTACACTGATTTTATATTAGTTCACAGTATAATAAATTAAAAAGTAATTCATAATAATCAATTGTCATAATCCACTTAAAATATAGGGAAAAAAACATTTCGGAGTTCTATAGAATACATTTGATTATTATCGCTTAATTTTTCATGGATTTTCCACCATTTGTAACTATTCCATCATTAAACTATGATCAGATCATCAGGTCGGGAACTGAACTGGCATCCCACTTCAAACTTTCAAGGTCTTAGTTTGCATTGCTTTGTTAAATTTTTTTATATTTACTTCATTAATTTCATTACTTTCCCCTATGTTTCACATATTTTGATTTTTTAACAAAAATCCTTAACAACATCGAGAAATGTTTGATTTTTTATACTAGCCAACAATAAACTTGTCACCTGATCAATTTAGGAGAGTGATGCCAGCTCAGATATCGTCCTCGTCACTTGTCCGTGATTCAAAATTATTAAGTCCGTCGACAATTTCTCTTTTACTACAAAGTGCGAAATAAATTAAAATCAAATCATATCTAAATCCTCCATATTTACAACCAATTCACACTGTGATGCATAAATTTCTTATTTTTGATGCTGAATATCAAAGAAAAATTTTTTCTTATTTTTAAGTATATTTGTTCCCTAAATATCATATTATGAAAAAAAAAAAATTTTCGTGAAAATGTGGTGGTAAAAGGTCAATTCGGTACTTTTAGCCGTTTCGCCAAAAGGAAACGTACCAAATCTCATATTTTTTTTTAAATCTAGATATATATTATAAATGCAAGTTGGCATTATGAATGGATTTTAATGACAGTAATATACATAATATAGGCTATAATTTACATAAAAAATCAAAAAAAAGTTGGTTTTCTATCCATTTTTGACGTATTATGAAAAAGACGTTGCTAATAAGAAGGAACACGACTTATTTTGTTTTTAAAAATGCAATTTGTAGTGGTAAAAATTGCTTCTGGGTTATTTCATATGGCATTTTTAAGTATAAAAAGCTATAATTATAACTACTGTACTGTGTTTTTTGGAGTGAGTGAATATTAACGTCGCACTGTTCAGCTACACGAGGGCTTTTGGCAACGGACCACGTAATTTTGAACCATGGTTAAGTGACGTGGATGACACCTGAGCTGTCATCCCTTTCTCCTAACTACCACACCATGCCAACTTAGAAGGAATATTCTACCAATACTTAGCAGGAATATTCTTTGAAATCCACTCTTCCAAGGCAGCACGGGTCTTATGATGAGTATTTTAGCGGGGAAGGCGAACAGTTTTGCAGCAGATATGCGTTTTCAGCGGATTGCAAAGATTATTATTTTTGTCCCGAAAAAACAGTTTATGTCAAAATTTAAGTGTCTTATGTTTTTGTATGTTAATGAAGACTTTAGAAAACGGTTTGAGTATTTATTTTAAGTGAACGGTGTATATAATTTTACAGTGGAATATCTTTAATTAATTTATTATCTCTAACGGATTAAATTTCCTAAAGTGGAGTATTTTGTTTATGTATATCCTTTAATTTTCAATGTAGTGATGCAAAAAAAATATTGCATGAAAATAACTGCAGTAAATCATAATGCGTTAGTTAAAGCATTAACGTGCATCACGCCCCTACACGGCGGGTCTTACAAAGCTCTAATAAAGCTTCAGCTATGAAAATAGCTAGATATTTGTGCCAATTTGACTATCGTTATCGTTTCGCTGTGTTTTTCATTGAATCGCCATTATAGCCATTATAATTTAAAAAACGGCGTTACTTAGGAATATTACAACTTTAACATAAAATAAATACAACAGAAAGTAATATTAATGTATAACACTTTCAGATATAAATTATTTACTCTATTTTTTTAAGCGTTCATTACGCAACACTTTTAACAATGTGTTACTTTTGCTGAGCAGAAATCAGGGAGTTATTTTCAAAAATCGACCCTCAAGAGTGTTACGGGGAATTATAAACAAAAAAATTTTTTTATTAGATATATATATATATATATATATATATATATATATATATATTAGATCAACATACTTAAAATTTAAACAAATGTGTTTTTTTTTCTTTTTTTTTTTGTTTAATTTGCAATTCACGTAAAATTAACTCATTAAAAACTTCTTTATCCTTCAATCTGTGTTTAATTTTTCAGTTCACCCGTGCGAAGAACGGGTATACTAGCTAGTAAGCTAGTATATATATATATATATATATATATATATATATATATATATATATATATATATATATATATATATATATATATATAAGAAATAAATATCTTCAAATAGTTTTTTAAAATTCAAATTCAGAGAAAATAGATATAATAAACAACTACAAATAGAGGTACAGATATTGTGACAACAAAAAGCAGACGAAGAAAAAGGAATAAAAATTCTAAATTCAACAAAATTTTATCACCAAAAAGCAATCATTAGCATACAAGCTGGAAGATCTTGCGTAACACTTATTCGACCAATATTTTCTTTTTGAAACTTCACCTCCGGATTTCTGCTCTGAATTAGAAGTTTTTTTTTTTTTTTTACTTGTTTGAAATTCTTAAATAGAATTCTGTGTTTAGACAAGTAAAAAAAACAATCATCATTGGCCTAGAACAAAAAATACCTCCCGGCGTGATTGGCTCCGATTAATTCAAACCTAGAAATAGTGATGACACTGATTGTTACAAAGAGGCTTCATATGCAATCAAATATCGGAACTGGAAGGATTCATACAGCTTTTAGCGTCTTGGAATTGCTCTGCAATTTTGTACTTCAATGGTTATATTTTATTGTAAAATGTTCGATTTTTTTTAATTATTTCTGTTTTGAGTAAAAAAAAATTTTTTTTTGTATTTATTATTACCTTTTCTTCAATTCCTGCTATTAGTTCACACTCTCCCTATACACATTTATTTATATATCTTGTTCAAATTTTCAATCGTTTATAAAATATTTTTTATTCATCCACTCAAGTTCAAATATATATTTTTAAACTTGTAGTGGATGATATTTGATGTTAATACAGTTTTTTCAAATATTATTTATTATACAGTTCTCAAATATTTCAAATATTATTTTTATTCATTAATTAAATGAATTCATTAATTAAATGAATTCATTAATTACATTTAATTAATGAGTGAATAGAAACTAACAAAAATAACAGTCCAACACTCTATGTAAAAAGAAAAATCGCTCGTTGCGCTCCTGTAGTACAATGGATAGTGCGTTGGACTTTTAATCCAAAGGTCGTGGGTATGGATCCCACCTGGGGATGGCCTAATTTCTGAGACTGTGATTTTTTTACTATACCATTTTATTGGAATAATTAAATTTAATGAATGAATAAATGGTAACAAAAACAAACTAAAATAGTCCGACACCCTATATAGAAAGGAAAATGGAAAATTGCAAGGAAAATCGCTTTCTATATTTCGCCACTTAATATTGTGATTCAGTCACAATATTAAGTATTCATATGATGTATGGATGCACTAGCTGGTATACCCGTTCTTCGCACGGGTGAATTGAAAAAATTAAACAATACAGATTGAAGGATGAAGAAGTTTTTAATGAGTTAACCTTAAGTGAATTGCAAATTAAAAAAAAAAGCTTTTGGCGTATCTCAGCTGAACCAAAAAAAACATGTTTGTTAAATTTTAAGTTTGTAGATTTTATAGCTGATAAAAAGAATTTTTTTTATTTATAACTCCCCTTAACTCTCTTGAGGATCGATTTTTGAAAACACCTTCCTGAACTGATCTCTGCTCAGAAAAAGTAACACATTGTTACACATTTTGTGTAACGAAAGCTTAAAATAGTGTAAATAATTTATAACTGGAAGTTAAAATACGTTAATCTAACTTTTTGTTGTATTTATTTAATGTTAAAATTGTAAAATTCGCAAGCAACGCCGTTCCTTACATTAAAATGACGATTCAATGGAAACATAGCGAAACGTTGGCGATAGAATAAAGTTGGCAACTGTCTGGCACTTTCATAGCTCGAACTTTATTAGAGTTTAGGGAAAGATTAGACTTATGCTTTCGCGGCATAATTCATAGTAGGTACTTTTTCTACTCTTCCAAAAAATACAGTACAGTAGTTATTATTATTTTTATACTTAAATGCAATACCTGTCTATTCAATTAAAATTATAGCTTTGTAATTAACTACTAACCACAAACAAATTATGCAAATTTGTCCAAATGATGTAGTGCGAAAGATAAAGTTTATATACTTTAAATACCAGAAGCGATTAAAGTTTTTATTTTGATATAAGTATCAATTTGTTGCTACCAAATGTGCATACTAAAATCATAAATAAACATGCATAGAAATTATCAATTTTATCGTATTTATGGTTCATTATTTTGGTGATAATGGCTTACACATGAAAAAAAATTAATAGTAGATATTCAAATCAAAAGAGACTTATCACAACCTCTCCCTTCGAAATCTATTTTTATTCTGAAATAAAAAAATAGTGATTACACTAATCAAAGCAATAAATTAGAAGCCAGCGCCTGGCATAGACAAAACAAAAAGGGAAAGTTTTGCTTCACACATAAAAAATAGATATATGCCGTCGCGGGCTTTTTTGCAGGTGGCAGAATTTTTTCCTACTTACATGACAATTATCGTTATATTTTTTGGACACTTCACACAATATCTTTATAAATTATAGTTTATGTGTTTTTCTGATGTAAAAGCTATATTATTGTAAAGTTTCATTAAAATCCATTCAGTTGTTTTTGCGTGAAAGAGTAACAAAGATATATATAAACACACAAGCAAACTTTCACGTTTATATTAGTAAGGATATACATATTTATATTAATTGTAATTATTTAATAAAAAGTAACTAAAATAAAAATTTTCTTTGTTTTGTCCTAGGTAGGAATTGACTTAATTTTGTTTTTCTTGTGTAGTCTTTATAGAATAATTTAGTTAGAGAGCCATCTTGCGAACATTTATCTAAAAAATGTAATTCAGAAGGAGTGTTTCAGATTCAGATTATTTTATGTCTGCTCAATGTTAAGTAACAAAATCACAATGTAGGGTGGCTGATGCGTCTTAAATCTTTTAAAGCTCAATATATTTATTTTGGCGTGGTGTGGAGGTTTGGAAAAGGAGGATGCCGCCTCAGATGTCGTCCTCGTCCATATTGAGAAGCGACACTTAACCTGCGGCCCACTGAGCCTTTTTAAATGGCCCGGTCATAACCCATTGCTCTGTTTTTTTTTTTTTTTTTTTTTTTTTTTGTAAAAATTTGGTGGGAAATTCTTTGTTAAGAAATCAAATGCATCAGTGTTGATTTTTGCTGTCGATGTCGTATGAGTGCCAATTGATATTATTTTCGGATTAGTGATAATAGACAACAGTGGATCATTTTATGAGTGTGGAACTAATTTTTAACTATCTTTCATCACTTGCAAGCGAAAAATATTCGCAGAAAATAGGTTGTTTCAAGACGATTGAGAGAAGTTGACTATTCTATAGTGAAAAACAAGCATGGATCAGTAATTGTTTGATTTGTCACGAAAGTGTTGTATTTAAAAAATACCATTAAACAGGAATCGTCCAATGACACTTATCCTCGAAGATCTGTTTCGAGAGGTGATAAATAAGCTTACTTGAATAATCTTTGCAACAGCAGCAAAGTGTTTTGTCAGTGGTTATGTCACAGTGAGATATCAAAGGTATCCTATGAAATTTGTTACATTATTGGAATCATATTAAATCGCTTACTGATGCAGAAATTGTGAAAGAGTGATTCTTAAATGCCTCCAGTTTAGAAAAATTCGGTGACAAAAAATAAAAAACATAAAAAATAATTAAAAAAAGAAAAATAGGAGTTTAAACTTTTTGATCAACTTTCCCACATTTTAAATTTTCTGCTATTTTTGGTCTTAAAGCATTTTCTCCACCCCACCCCTTCTCCATTAATCCTCATGCTGGGGTCCGCGTGAAAAAGCTAACGTATGTACTATGTGGCCAGCATGAAAAAAAGTTTGAGTACTTCTTGTAACGACTTTGCACATAGCGCTCTAGGAGGTTTGACGCCTAGCGCCCGATAGACTAGAAAGAGGGCGCTGCTGTGAACTGTTTTGGCTATTGAGCGGGAAGGAGAGAAGAAGATGTGGTCTCGAATGTGAAAATGGAGGAATATGTCTGTAGCTCCCTATGTGATTTATAATTGTAGAGTTGTAAATATAGTGATGTCTTTGAAGAAAATAATAAAAACGGTAAATCCGGTTGATTTGAGTGATGATTAATTCAACAACAAGACGATCTTGAACCCTAATACAGAGGGTCAATACTACGAGGTCTATCACCAATAATTCTCTTGTTACTTCGAGTGAGTGTTTATTAATGTCCCACTATAAAGAAACAAGAGGGTTTTTGGCGATGAATCTCATAACTATGAACCTCGGTCAAGTGACGAGAGTAACTACTGAGTTGTCACCTCACTTTACAGACTACCACACCACGCCACGGGAGGACTTCGATATATTTAACGTGCATCAGCCCATCTGTGTGGCGAGTCTTCAGTTGTACTGGTGCTCGAACTAAAGACCCGTCGGTCATGAGTTCGTGACCATAACCTCTAGGATATCATAACCACTGTTTAATGTAGGATACACAATGTAAAAATATTTTATTTGTGACAATGTTAATTGACTCAAACATAAACTACCTCTTTTTATGCAATAGGGATGTTAAAATAGAATGTTATTCTTGGAATATCTTTTTCCTGGAAAAGCGGCTCCAGTTTAAGCCCAGCTTTAATAATACAAAAATTCAATTCGAGTTGGAATCTTTTTTTTAACACGATTTTATTAGCTTCACCTGTATGTAATGGAATCTTTGAACTGATTTTTACCCACTTTAAAAGGTCAGATTCGAAATTTTGCTCATTTGTCAAGGACCGATGGCAATACAATAATTTAATAATTTCGTTCCATTGTCCTGATCAGGATCATCAGGATTAACAATTTCCCATTTCCAGATTTGGTGACTAATTCTAGATCCTATTTCCAGATTGGGAGACTGAAAAACCCCGTTACATCCCAAAAGCGAAAACGCTCATGGTTAATACAAATACGAGAAACAAAAAACGATTTGTAATGAAAGCGTGTTTTTTTAGTTTTTTAAGCTATCTTTGATTTAGTCAAATATATTATTGTCGATGTTTAACACGTACTAAAATTAATATATATTTTACTCTATTACATTTAATAATTGTACTACGTTGAGTAATTGTACTTCTCAGTATAATTAACAGTATTATTTTACAATTATATTTTGTACGTATATATATAAATAATACATATGTAAAAAAGTGTGTTCGTGTGAGAAGAATACATTAGAAAGGGGATATGTGATTAAATTTACATTCCAAAAGATCCGTGGAACCAAAATCTTTACATCAGAAGTTAGTTTTCATGCAAGTTTGCTGAATGACTCAATTTAAATATATCGTTTTCAATTCCGCCCTTATTTTATGACCGAGACCGTAACTCTTTAAATCGGGGTGGACCGTAAACCTGAGCGAGAGTGAGTACACATTAAATCACAGTGATGGATGGAAAGAAAGAAAATGCGTACAAGCGGGTTTCTTGGCGAAAAGATCTCAAAGAGAAAGAAAGAAGAAAAAAAAACGGAGGTTGTTTTCTGTCAAGTCGAGCCCTGGAGGGGCTTCCTCATTCCATTCCGCACTCGTCCGACCGGTCTTGCTCATGAATGAAAGGTGAAGGGGCTGCTCTGACAGGAACGCCCCGTTACAACCCTCGCAGCGCATCGCACCATATTTTGTCATAAAATAATAATAATAAAGTGTCAAAATATTTAATGGGAATGAATTTATTCGCCGTGGTATTGAACCATGATTTACGCTTCGGCAATTTAAGTTATTGGTTTTTATTATTTATTAAATTTGATTTCATTGGTTTTGGAAGGGGTTAGGAATTGAAAGCTGTACTCATTCTTCCGTAAATGATTGGAATGAATTTTGTTGTTCTATTTGTGTTGAATAGTTAGCACGTATATAGTTAAGTTTTTTAAAAAATTAATTTTCGCTTCCGATTTTGTTCAAATATATTTTTATGAATGCGCTGTCTCTCTGTAGGTGAATAACCTGTATGATTGAATTTATTTTTCTAAAAATACAATTTTTTCATTTTTATTTCAAGGTTTATAAACGTAATACTTTTTTTTGGCACAGACACAAATGTTTCAAAGGGTTTATTACCATTCATTATTACGGGTAAACA